GCAGGACATCCATCCGGCGGGTAGGGCAGGTCTGCTGCCGCTGGAACCAGGAGCGCAGGCAGCTGAGGATTGAGACCAAGCAGTAGTCAGCAGGTCCCTAAGGGCCTGCCTCCTGAGGCCACGCGCTAATATGCAGGCTGCCCAGGCCCTTCCCACCTGGTGTGGAAGATGTGGTTGCAGGGCAGTCGCTTGGCACCAGTCACCATCTCTTCTCGGCAGATGATGCAGACATTATCCATTGCCTGGAGTTCCTCCGGGGTGGCATCTGGATACCTGGTTAGGATGGCAGAGTAGGTATCAGGACCAGAGCTGGAACCAGGGGTACCTGGGGCAGAGCCTGGGAGAGCAGCCACGATAAGCCTTACAGTGTGTTCATGTTGCGGATGGCTCGGCGAGACATGATGGCATCTGTCACAGCTTTCTTGAACTGCCTAAAAGGACAGTCAGTCAAAATAAGGGAGAAGAAAAGGGATTGGGTCAGGGGACTGGAGGGACAGGGCTGAGCTCACCTCATGGCTAGGTACATGGGCCGGATGGCAAAGAGTGGGAAGGTATGCACCTTGATCATGATGGTCATGAAGGCCATGTATAGCAGAACCTTGATGAAGCCTGAAGGGAAGGGATGCAGAGAGCAATTGGTCACATGGTCTGGCAGGCCATGCAGGGGACACTGGTCTTGGTGAGGGTACCAGGCTCCTCTCACCTGTGAATAGCTCTGTGTAGAGCATGTACACGGCCTTGTTGTCCCAGGGGTTCTCACTCTGGAGGTCCACGGAGTGCAGCACATACTTGATGAAGATGGTGAGCACCATGGTCATCAGGATGGCGTACTGGGGGCAGGGGAGGGTGTGTGAACCCGCAGCTCCCCTTGCTCCACCCCACTCTGCATGCCAGGGTGCAATGGTGCAAGCACAGACTCTGGACACAGCAGGGTCCTGTTCTTCCACTCACTACTGTGACTTTGGGCACGCACAGCCACAAGTTTGCCTATCGGTAAAATGACAGATGTAACTGTCCCATCATAACAGTACTGTCTTGCTAACTAAGGGATGCAGATTAGGAGCTCAGCCCAGGGCCGGCCACACATGGAATCCTCAACAAATGTGAGCCGTTGTCACTGAACACTCTCCCTCTGTCAGGGAGACACCTCCCCAGGTGTCCTTTAAGCTGATTCCCTCTTGTCTATCAACAGCCAGCCCTGACGTCAGTTTCCAGGAAGACTTCCCTGAGCCCCAAGTCGGGACTCCTCCTCTGCATAGCCTCTCTTTGTTTTCCTCTTCTACCACCTGAGTAAGTGCATGGAGAACAGGGACAATGTCTGACAGATCACAGCACAGGTACATGGCACAGGGTGGCCCCATGGCAGGTGTTCAATACGGGCTTGTTCGGTTATTCAAGGCACACGTGAAGCCACCATAGGCTTGTCCCCCCACCTCCCAAGCCAGTTTTACCTCAAAGCCAAACACCAGCTGCACAGAGGCCCCACGGGTCAGGATGCTATGATAGGCATGGCTGACGAAGAGGAAGTCCAGGATACCCAGGAGGAACATAAGAGCTGTGGGGACCCCCCAAATGGGGGTTAGGTGGCGTCAGCCCAGGGCCTGGCAGCCACTTCCCGATCTAGGACAGCCCTATCCTCAAGCCCACCATGGCCGAGCCATCTAGTCAGGTGGGAACACCACTGGACCCAGCCCTCTAAGAATTCCATTCTGCCTGGTGGTGGTGGGGCACGCTGGGGCAACCCAAGCTCCAGGCACAGAGGCAGAGAGCTAAGGGTGCAGGCAGTTGAAAAGCCCTGGAGTGGAACAAGACAGAGACCATGCAAATTAACTTCCTAAATTATCTTTCCTGTACAGCTGTGGGCCCAACTGTGCTCTGGGGTACAGGTCCCTGATTAGTAACTTTTCATGTTCCAATCCTCCGTGGTACCTCTCCTCCCTTCAGATCCCTTCCCTCACCTCCCATCAGTATCACTCACAGACAATGCGGCAGTGAAAAAGCCAGGAGATATTGGGACTCCGTTCCATCTGAGGCAGAGCAGAGAGGGAGCTATCAGGAAAGCTGGGACTCACCACATGCCCAACTCTGTCCTCACTGTTTAAGGAGCCTGCGCACCGGCCACTGCCTGGCTTCTACCTGCTCCACTGAAGAACCCCCTGACCCAACTCACAAAGTCCACACGATCCTCAGCCAACCAGTGGAAACATTTCAGAAAGAGGAGGAGGGTGAAGAGTGCAACAAAGCGGGGGCTGAAGTCATCCCGGAATACAGTGAAGGCCAGACAGGTCTCAGTAACAGCATACCAGGAACGCTCCAGTAGGTGCTGGGGGTGAGAGTCGGGTAGGGAACATTGTGGAACCAAGCTGTTCTGCTTACCCAGCACCCGGCCCTTCACCTTTGGGGTCACCAACATCTTACCTCCATCTCTGCTGCTCTTAGTTGCCCAAAGAACACCTTGCCCATCACCTTACCCAACAGGAAGACAAGGACGAACGCCTGGATGTACAAGACCTAGGAAAGGGAAGAGGCTATAGCTTGAGGTCACGTTCTGCTTTCCTCTGCCTGAGTCCCATTATCCAGGAACCACCCCCACATCCTCTTTGCAGTTTATTCCAAGGTAGGCAGCTAGTGGCTCCTTCTCTTGTCCCTCCCTTACCTGACCTCTAGCTCCGCCCCTGTCCCAAGCAGACTCCTCCTTTCCTCACAGGGAGTTCCTCCCTCCCTGAGTCCTGTACTCACTGCCATGCTGGGGCTGGACTTGGTCAAGTACACCACAGTGGGGTAGAACTGGTGTTTGAGGTAGTAGGCATGAGCCACCACGGCTCCGGTCAGCGCCAGGCTGGCCGCCATCATCACTGCAGTGCGGAACATTGCCCTGGCCCGGAGACCTGCATGGGGAAAGGAAAGAAAACAGCTAATGTGCTGCTTATACATATGCTAAACCTAGCACAGCGCCTGGTCCAGTATCAATAAATAGGAGTATGAAAGAACAAACTCATTTCATCTTCACAACCATCCCATCAAGAACAGCATGTGTTCCCCCAATTTTACAAATAAAAACACTGAGACTCAAGCGGTTAAGTGATCCACTGACGCAAGGCCTGGAACCTGGGTCAGTTGTGTTTCAAATCTGGGGCTCTTTGCACGCTGCCTGCCAAACCGCCTCTAGGGAGGCAACGAGGACAAGAAGCGATGCTGCTGGAGGGGGAAGTGCCACTGCTGACCCTCCAGTGAAGGTGCTGGGACACAAAAGCAGAAATCTGCTCCAGAGACGGGATGCGTGGCCTGGGCTGGAGAAGTCAAGGCGCTGGGGGGTCGGCGACAGGGCCAGTGACAGCTGTGCCAGAGTGGGCAGCTCGGACACGCGTCCCGGGTGAGCAGGTGGGGCACGTCAGCCTGGAACCCTGGAGCCTCCCAACCTCTGGGGCAGTGTCAACTCCGAGCACCTGACAAACGGCCGGCCAGCACGGTGCAGTGGCGGGACTGAGAGGGACCCGGCTCGCGCTTGCGGCCACGCACCAGTGAGCGCCGAGCTGCGGGCGTCGCAGACCCGGCCCAGCCTCCGGGAGAGACGGGCGCGCGCCGCCGCGGGCACCACCGA